AGGGCGGCGCTTCGTCCATGCTCGACCGATCCCCGACCGGGACGCTCCCCGATCCATCACCGTGCCCGATCCTCGACGGATCCTCGATCGTCCACGGAGCGAGCCCGATGCTCGCTCAAACCTCGATCCTCGATCTAAAACAGGGCTAGGATCGGGATAAATCGCTCCAGAGCGTTCCGGAGCGCTCTCAGAGCGTTCCGGAACGCTCTGGAGCGGCCGCGGCGCCCAATACATCCTCCAAACCCGCCGATTCTCAGAGATTTCGAATTATCCCGATCCGATGTTGTCCCGATCTTCGCGTCGTTTTACGATCTGTCCTCGAGCGATTGATCGGGGGCGGCGCCGGCCGGCGTGCTCCTCGGCCGCGCGCCACGCGCGTCCGGCTCGGCCGCGTCCGCCGCCGCGGCCGCTCGGGCGGCGCGGGCCTCGCCGGCGGCGGAAGCGCCGCCGCCGTCGCCGCCGGCGGCGGCGGCCGCCGCGGCGGCCCTCGGCGACGGCGTTCGGAGGCACTCGGCGGCCCTCGGCGGCGCTCGGCGGCCCTCGGCGGGCCTCGGCGGCGGCGCAGCAGTCGGCGGCGGCGGCGGCGGCATCGGCGTCGCCGTCGACGTCGTCGTCGGTGCCGCCACCGTGATTGTCGTCGTCGTCATCCGCTGTCGTCGTCGTCGTCGTCGTCGTCGTAGTCGGCGTCGTCAGCGCCGCCATCGTCGTCGGTTCTCTGCAGAAGACCAGAGGGAGAAGGCGCTGGCGAAACGATGATGGCGAAGACGACGGTGATCACGACGATGATGCGAGGATGAGGCGAACTCGAACGACGCTGAAATCGAATAGCTGCTCCTCTTGCTGCCCGTGCTGCTGCTCCTCCGAAGTAACCCTTGAAGACCCAGGAGGGCCCTAATACAGCCCGAAGAGTCCCTGGGAACACAAACATGCGTTCGAGACGGCCCCAGGAGGGGCCCCGCGAGGGGCCCAAGAAAGGAACTCGCAGGGAGCCCGACAGCCCTCCCCACAAGATGGCCCCCAAGACCGCCAGCATTCCCCCGAGAGGCCCTCAAGGGGCCCCCCCCCAAGGAGCTCCCAGAGGCCCCCCCTCCCAAAGACCCCCCCGGAAGAGACTCCAGGCGGCCGCGGCGCGTCTCGGCCCCTCCGCTCATCGGCATCGAAAGCTCGGCCAGGGATCGACCGAAACGATGGCTTCCGTTTCTTTCTTGGTCTCGTTTTCCCTCGCTTTGTCTCCAATTCGCCGTTGCTGCAGAACGAGATCGAGACGAAAACGGTCCACGAAATCTCCAGAGCACCGTTGAGGTCTACCCCTGGGCTCGGCTCGCAGCAAATCTCCTGATCCTAAAGAAGGAGCGGGGAGACCAGCACGGTGGCCCTGGCAACGAGGGCGGCCTGGGCGGCCTGGCCGTCGAAGCTGACACCAGCCTGGCGAGCTCGAGCACGAGTGCTGCACTGGGCACGAGGTGGAAGACCGCTCAAGCTTCACACTCTCAAATGGCATCGCACGGGAAATCTTCGACCAAATTGGAATATCTCAGCAGATCTCGAATAGTCCTTGCCCTTCAAAACACCCGCCAACGTGCCTCTGGTACGAAGTGGAGTGCCCCAAGGCTCACAAGATGTGCTGCTGCAACCAAGATTGTAGTTGATTGAAGGCCCAGAACTCCAGAACTCCAGAGTTCCGGGCCGTCACGGAATCTTTCGGACGCACGGACATTTCGAACTCTCCGCCCCAACATGTCCCCCCAGGAGGCCCCAGAGGTCCACAAGAGGCAACCAAGTGGCCCCCGAGGGGCCCCAAAGAGGCGTCAAAACTGCCCCCCAGGGGCCACCGAGAACCCTCCGAAGAGACACACAGAAACATACATGACGACTCTGACCCGCAACCCAAGCACGGTGGCGGGATGGGCTGAGGGCCACTAATACAACGGAAAAAATCAAAAATCGCGCCCCCCCGAGGAATCTGGAATATCCGATTGATTCGTTGCCCTGAGATTTTCGGGACCCAGCGATTACTCTGACACTTCCCATACATGTTCGGGGCCTACGGATTTCCAGCTTGTTTTCACTATCCAAGATTTGCTGGTGCCCATACATCCTCCTCCTCCTCCTCCTCCTCCTCCTCCTCCTCCTCCTCCTCCTGCTCCTCCTCCTCCTCCTCCTCCTCCTCCTCCTCCTCCTCCTCCTCCTCCTGCGCCGCCTCCTCCTCCTCCTCCTCCTCCTCCTCCTCCTCCTCCTCCTCCTCCTCTCCGCCTCCTCCTCAT